TTCCTGGTTGCCGAGTTGAAAGTGGGTGACAAAATGCACTCGCTTTGCGCGCGCGTACACACACACCCACACAGACAGCCTCTCGACAATATGCGTTTTTGCTGGCTCTCATGTTTCCTCTTTCCCGTCGCCTGCCATGCTTGACCCCTTACACCCTTTGATACGGTGGTTCTGTAGCAAGCGGGCCAGGCCTCCCTGATGCTGTAAAATTTTTCTGCTGTTCATTGAACATATCGCGGTATATCTTACTTCAAAAACCGAGACTCATCATGTAAAGTCGCCTAAGCAAATAAGTTAACCACTTCTTCGTCCACCATGCAGCAAAGTTGCAATATGCATTCATACTTGTTTAATGTGTCTGCAAGCAATGAGTACAAACCTTCAGCATATTTGACCCCCCGTACGGGTGCTTGAAAGTTTTGGCGGAGAAATTGCTAACTCGGTAATCAGAAAAGCTGGAAAGCTAAAATTTTGAGGGAATGTTCCCTGTCCAAGTACAACTCAGATATTACAAATTCAGCCCCAAGCTATGTGTGGTACTCACGTAAGGGCGTATGAAAGTTTCTGCGAGAAAATTGCTAATTCGGGAACCAGAAAAGCTAGAAAGCTGAAATTTTAGGGTGATGTTCATTGTCCAAGTACAAATTAAGTATTTCAAATTCAGCCTTGAGGTATGCGTGGTTGTTACATACGGGCGCTTAAAATTTTTGGCGGAAAAATTTCTCACTGAACAGCTTGGTTATTTTCAAAGAACGACTTTTAAGCAGAAATAGTACATTTAGTTTACGCAAAATTTATGGTGATTTGTGCTAGTAACCACAAAAGGTAGTTATAAAGCAACAACCATTCATGTATTTAATGACCTGAGTACTTCAAGTCCGGTGCAAAAACGCATGATCGCATGGGTCCGCCTGGTGCGTCCCAGCCTGGGATTGAAAATGACCCAATTGTTCAATGAGTAATTTTCCCGCCAAAAATTTTCGTACACGAGAATCACGTGTGCATGGAGGCTGAATTTGGAGTCTTTAAGTTTTATGTAGGCTGGAAACACCCGTTTAAAATTTCAGCCTTTCAGCTTTGCTAGTTTCCGAGTTAGCCATTTTCCCGCCAAAAAATTTCATGGGGTCGTACTTTGAGCAACACGCATGCCTGGGGCTGAGTTCGATGATTTCAAGTTGTGTTGGAAAAATTCCGCGAAAATTTCAGCCTCCTAGCTTCCCGGGTTCCGAAGCTAGCAATTTTTGCGCCAGGAACCATAATGGGGCTGTACGCGGGAACCATATACGCTCGGGGGCTGAATTTGAAATCTTTGAGTTCTATGAGAACAGGGGACATAATTTCAAATTTTCAGCTTTCTAGCTTTTCCTGTTCCCGAGTTAGCAATTTTTCCGCCACAATTTTCACCCTCTCGTACGCAAGGCCCTGACTTGCGCAAGGGTTGGTGCCGCGGTTTTGGGATGGCCAGTGGCCGGGGAACACACTAGCAAAATTTCGGCATCGGAGCTTGCTTCGTTGCCGAGTTGAATTAAACGGACAGACGAACATACACAGACAAAGTCGTTGCAATATGCGTTTTTGTAATTTGCATATAAGTAAAAACGCATAAAAGCGATCGGGCTTCATGCAAAATCAATAATCATGCACGCCGGGAGCCCGCGTGGGCCCATACTGCAACACCTCCGTTCCAGCCGATGTCTCTCCCTCTGAACGTAGGAAAAGGCCAAAACACTGCCAGTATGAATCTACATGTCAAACCACAGCGCAGAAATCATTCTTGCTGTCGGAGATGAACAGTTGTAGCGTAAAAACGCATAAACGCTGCGCTCTAGCCTAGAGTTAATGACCACTGCACTGGGGTGCAGTGCCTACAGAGCGATGCACGTCTGGGCTAATGTTGTCCCAACCAGCACTTAGTACATTCTTGAGTGATTATAGATAAATTCGGTTGAAAATCTAGTGTTGCAAGACATTTTTTACTGTAACTTTAGAATTTATCAGCTTATCATTTTAGCGTAATAAATGCATTGATCACTGTACTCAAACTGCGTTCTCAAACATCGGTGGGCACGGCAGATGTTCGGGAACACCGGTCAGTACATCTGAGACTGTGTTTATTTCATTATCGTGTTACTGCTGAGGCATCGGCATCACTGTGGCGCTAGTCTGCTCTTCCATGCGGTACGAACGCTGGTCATCCTTGAACGAGCGCTGGAAATTCTCCCTACCAGCCGTTGCCTGCGATACGGGATTCAAAATCGCATAGCTGATTACCATATCTGCACTTATACGCATCACTGCTCCTTTGTTAGTCTGCAAGAAATCAGTGAATGAGAGAGAAGTGCCAGCAGCTGAGCTCAGTCAAATTATACGTTGCGTGATTAGCCTCGTTCTGCCGCAGCTAAAGCTTCAATTAAGGGCATCCCAGAAGTAAGATGTTATTGCAGCGAATTCCACACAGTTCGTCTTCCTCAAGTACTTCGAACCTTGTAACGGCGTTATCAGTCTTGGGATCAGCATACCAACAGATCTTTATTTAACT